TAGACTTCTGACATTTTGTACAATCACTTCTTACAGCTATACTACGCTCTATCTTAAAGCATATTCTTGATAGTTTTTCTTGAGATATCTGCCCTTACAAAATACTCCGTGTCTACAATACTTCTGGAATAGGATTGACTCTTACATGTGGCTATGCACGAATAAGGCTCATTTAGGTGTTAAATTTAGCGAAGTAATGAAGACTTGGACTAAACAAAGAAAAAATATTATCCAGAATTCATATTCAGAAAACTGAGAGTCTAGTTTATATATGATAGTTCATTGCATATCCCTGTGACTTGCTTTTCTTCTCTCCACGCAACTCAGATATTCTTTTCCTTTACAACAACTAGACCCTTTATTCCTCTCCAGATTTTTCTCATTTGTTTTTCTATCTTGTTGCCTTTATTATTTTAATTGTTTTTTCTATCTTGCTGCCTCATTATTTTTAATAAAAAAATTTATACTTTTCACCTTTTTTTAATTTGTAGAATTTCTAATATTTATATGTGGTCTGTAAAAAGTAACAAGTTTTTTTTTCCAGAGAATGGTGATTATTAATTCCATATGCATCAAAATGGATTGTATTATCTCTAAGCAAAATATAAGTTCACATACTCTGCATAAAGACAACTATTGTTTGCTTCATTCAGGAACATGTTTTATGGGAGGGAAATTTTTAAATAGGCTATTCAGAAATATGCTCATTCTTTTTTAATGTCTTTTGAGTTGTGTGTATGAATAGAATTGTAAGGAATTTCCAGTGATTCATTCCTGGTTTTAGCTATCTGGCATTCTGTAAAACCATGCATGTTAAAACCTCTTAACAGCTCTCAGCAAATCTTTTGCACTACTGTTTGTCTCCTATACTTATCAAAAACTTCAGGTGCTTTTTTTCAAGCTCTCTCACTAACAAGTAATCCCTATATATAAAAGCCTAATATGCAAAGTGTCCCCTCAGGAGTTTGACCAGGAGACCAGGCATTTGATCGCTCGCTATGACGTGTGCTAAATACCAGAGGGTGGCATGGGATGGAGGATGACCCTGGTTGGCAGCTGGCAGCCACTAGGGACCCTACCCATGCATGAATTTTGTGCACTGGGCCTCTAGTATTACATGGTTATTAAAATATGAGAACTAACTACGAAATCTGAAAGTTGCAAATGGTGTTGTAAATCACTAAGCAATTAGCATGAGATTTTTTTAAATAACTGAGTACAAATTCTGAATTATGAAGTTATTATCTAATAACCCAACAAGTGATGTGAATAAATCTATGATAATATGAAAATTATCAACCACTAAAACACTCTTTTTTACAAGCAGGTCTATGGATCCTCATGCTAATGCACTTAGATTGATAAACTACAAGCAGTCTGTGAAAGCTTCATTTATTCCAGTTGCTAAGGATTGTGCTTAGAAAATTTGTCACCCAAATGATAAGCAAATTGAAATATACCACTTGTTTTCATTTAATAGCAGGCAGGTTTTCACCAGCTTAGACCCATTCTTATTATTATCCTTTTAAACTAATTACCAGAAAATTAATTTTATTATTTTCTTTTATTATTTTCTTTTTTCTCTTTGTCCCTATAGTGGAAGACTCAAAGCCATCTACATACACTTTGAAAATATGTCGAATATAATCTCCTGTCAACAGTGTGGTTGTAAAGACCTCCTAGTCCTTGATTCTACTGCAATTCATTTTGTACTCAGCTCTCAGAATTACTTTCTAATTATGCTATTTCCCTTTCATAGTGCTCCAGTTCCCTGCCATGTAGAGCAGAAATTTTCATATGACTTCAATGCCCTCCATGATCCTCATCCACTTAGGATCATTTCTTGTTGTTGTTGTTGTTTATATCCTATATAATAAAAGCCCAGCAACCAAATGGCAGAATGACCATAATGATTGGTCAACCAGTCACTATGATATACACTGACCACCAGGGGGCAGACACTCAATGCAGGAGCTTCCCCTGGTGGTCAGTGTGCTACCGCTATGGGAGCACCCCCTGGCTGACCAGGATGAGCAGCTGCTCCTGCTGTGAACCGGGGCTGCAATTGTCACTTCCTCTCCCCAGGCTCCTCCTTCACTGCCCGCAGGCCACACAATAGGGTCCCCAGGCTTGCAGAGCTGACCTCAGAGGCGGGGAGGTGAGTTCATGGCTGCTGCAGAACTGGGGCCTATGCCGGCACCTCTCAGTGCTATTGTCCCTGGGCCCAGCCCTGACCAGGTCCCTTGGAGAGGCAAGTGCTCTGGCTCCACAGAAGATGCTGGACTAGGGAGCAGCCACTCAGGGGCAAGTCCACAGCCACTCAGCTGACCAGAATGACCAGTGCTACCACAGCAGGCTGATTCCCACAGGCCACACCCCCTTAGCAGTGCACAAATCCCATGCACCAGGCCTCTAGTTGCAATATAACAGCCATACAGAAAAAAAAAAGAAAAGATTAAACCATTTATCAATGATTAATAAGTAAAGTCCACCTAATCACTGTCTAGAATAAAAAATATAATATTGTCATTACCATGGTAGCTATGTTTCCTTATATATGTTTTTCTCCATATCCTTAATTATCAGACTGCTTCTCTTTCTGCTTCACTTTACTCTTTCTTTTTTTAAAAAATATATTTTATTGATTTTGTACAGAGAAGAAGGGAGAGAGATAGAGTTAGAAACATCGATGAGAGAAAGTCATCAATCAGCTGCCTCTTGCACACCCCCTACTGGGGATATACCCGCAACCAAGGTACATGCCCTTGACCGGAATCGAACCCAGGACCCTTCAGTCCCCCAGCTAACAATCTATCCATTGAGCCAAACCGGTCTCGGCTCTTTACTCTTTCTTTGGGATTTTCTATTTGTTTATTCCCTTGTACCCTAGGTTTTAACTCTGAACTATAACAGGTTACTAATGCTTTCTCCAGCTATTTCTATTCTGCTGATAAATTCAGTCAGTAAGTTGTTAACTTTTATCATGATCTTTTCTAATTCTTAAATTTCTATTTAGTTCTTTTTAAATTCTGCAGCGACACATCCTATAGTCTAATTTTCTATCAATTAAAAAAATCCTCTTTAAACATAATAAGCATGTTTATAATATGCATCTGAAAATTTAGTGTCTGAGTTCTCAAACATCTATTTCTGTTGGATGTTATTTCTCCTAGTTCTCTATATGAAATGTAATCATGTATGATACCTTGATCTTTTGATTTGAACATTGTTCAAACAACTATTTGAAGCAGGGGTGAGGAATGTCTGGCCTGAGGGCCTTATAAGGCCCACAAAATCACTTGGTCTGGCCCTGCCATGGCATTAGAGGTGAGTTAATAAAGAGTTTGACCACATATAGCAGGATAATTTTTAAGTTGATAATTTTCTAGGACCCACAAATGATGAGGTAAATATTCAAATGGCCCTTGGAAGAAAAAAGGTTCCCTATCCCTGAAATTTTAAAGTAATAAAGTGTGATCTAAAATGAAGATACTTTCTTCCATAGAAGATTGTATTTTATTTTCTGTCATGCATCTGGAGTCTCTACCAGTCTCATGTCAACTTAAATTGCATTAAAATTTGAGACAAATTATGTTATCCTTATCCTAGATTTTAATTCATAGGTTGAAAAATTCGAGGTCACAGGAGATAAAGTTGAAGTAAGTAATTATGATGCCTTCCTCTTCCGTAACGTGTTGTGTAACCTTGAGTTGAAACTTTTGTTTCTAATTTTTTCTTATCTGTTAAAATAGTACAAAGTGGGTAATCCCAAAATGGTGATTTTCTTTTTCTTTTAGAGTCTATTTTCTTTCCCTGGTGTTTTGTTTGTCCCAGTTATGTTGTACATTACTTTTGTTTTGCTTTGTATTTTTTGACTACATGACTTCTCCCAATACTGCGTTAAAATTATTTTGAAAGTGGTACTCATGAGTTTTTACCGTATCTCTCACTATGTTGAGTAGCTGCTCAATGCATGTTAAACAGATGAGTCAATGAATGAATAAACATTGAAATAGGTGCACAGATAAAGATGATTAAACCAAGCTTGGTATTGTTGCCTTAGAAAAGGAACAAATTTCTTTTCTATTACAGGTTCCAAAGCTTCACTGACAGTTATTTAAGAGTATAGCACATATAACTATGTATAGTACATAATACTTGATAATGATAATAAATAACTATGTTACTTGTTTATGCACTTACTACAATATACTTATTATTTTATAGTGTACTCCATATACTTACATAAAATATGTTTTCTGTAAGAGTATGCCACATTATAACTGCAGCAGCCTCATACATTTTGTATTTACCAAGTGTGTTGATTGTGTCATTTTTTCCTGTGCTTGATTTAATTTTGTGTTGTTTTGTACAGTAACATACTATAGAGGCTTGTACCATATAGCCTAGGTCAGTGGTCGGCAAACCATGGCTCATGAGCTACATGCGACTCTTGGGTCCCTTGAGTGTGCCTCTTCCACAAAATACCAAGTGCGGGCATGCATGTACAATGCGACTGAAACTTCGTGGCCCATGCACAGAAGTCAATTTTTGGCCTGGACGAGTCTATTTTGAAGAAGTGGCATTAGAACACTCAAGGGGTCAAAGAGCTGCATGTGGCTCGTGAGCCCACGCTTTACTGCCCACTGGCCAAGGTATATAACATCTAGGTTTGTGTAGGTATAGTTTATGATGTTTGAACAATGACAATATTAGTCAAGGGCATATGTCTCAGAACATATGTCTGTCATTAAGTGGTATGTCTATAATTAAATGAGAGCTGACAAGAAATTGGGTAATGCAGTTAAACATTGTTTAGTAATATGCCACATTAACAACACACAACTTATATTGACAACACACAGTTATATTTCTAAGTTAATTATCTCAAAGTGCAAAAGCAATTTTTAGACTATAAGCATAACTCTTAGAAGAATTAATGTTTGCTTTTTAAGGAGCAATGTAGATTGACATCATGGATATCTCTTATTTCCCTGCAGGAAGAACCTTTTGTAATGGTCTCTGAAAATGTCCTGGGAAAGCCCAAGAAATACCAGGGCTTCTCCATTGATGTTTTGGACGCCTTATCTAACTACCTTGGATTTAACTATGATATTTATGTTGCACCGGATCATAAATATGGAAGCCCACAGGAAGATGGTACATGGAATGGCTTGGTAGGAGAACTAGTCTTCAAGGTAAGCATTTACTTTGTTATTTATTTGCGATGTATCTAAAGGTTGAACTATAACCCCCAGAAGCTAATTTAATATAAAATAAATGCAAAGCAAAGTAGTAAGTGGTGGTGTTGAATGCCAAAATCTTAGCCAATACTATTTTATGGTATTTGTTGAAAGAAAAATGAATGACAAAGTAAAGTTAGATTTTAGAGTATTTCCTCCTAGAGGCCTGGTGCACAAATTTGTGCATAAGTGGGGTCCCTCATCCTACTGTGATTGAGGACTATTGGAAGGCTGGCCAGCCAGCAGGAGAAATCCCAGGAGGTTGACTGACCAGTTGGGGGGCCTGCCAGTAAGGGGGAGAGACTGCAGGAGGTTGGCTAGTCAGGGGGAGGGGTTGAGGGAGATTGGCTGTGGGAACACACTGACCACCAGAGGGCAACTCCTGCATTGAGCATCTGCCCCTTGATGGTCCATGCATGTCATAGTGACTGGTCAACTGGTCGTCTAGTCATTCTGGTCATTTAGTCATAATGGTTGCTTAGGCTTTTATATATAGAGATGATAGAAATGTATCTAGAACAAAGACTTACCTTTGCCAAATATATACTTCAAACATTTTGTCAGTATATGGTACATGATGAAGTCACAATTCAATATAACAAATATAATTCACGTCATTGTTTTCTTTTAAAAACACAGTGTTATTTGTAAAAAGTAGATAAAATCCTGATCACTAAGAACTAATAATTTTTACTTTTAGGATATAAATATATAAATAAGGTAAATCTATTTTTACTGATATTTTTGTCCTTGGCCTTTCAATTATTGGAGAGGTGTTTAAATTTCTGTATTTCTATTTTTAAATATTTAAAAAGTTCCTTTATTGTTTAAAATTATACAGATATACCCTGATACTTGCTTCCATACCTATGAAGTGAGAAGTACGTTAATACAAATATCATTTCCAACTGAACTTTGTTTTAACATTTTAAGAATTTATTTCATAACAATCAATCAATAGTATGTTGTTCTTCATAAACAATCCATATGATTGTTTTCATTTGTGTGTAAGAGCATGAATTTATTTAATGATTAAGTTCCCCTGGGTCCTTTTACAAAGTAAAAATTCAGGCATAAGGAAGTTAACTTATGAATGTATAAGTTTTAGCCTGAAAAACTATAAAGCTATTTATTGCAACTAGATTTTTATTTTATTCGGGAAGTAGTTTGTCATTCTCACTAGGCTTTTAGAAGCACTTATTAAGCAGGGAGAGGAGGATAAACAAATATGAGGTTCTGGGGAGTAGGCAGAGAGATAGGACAAACAGTGAGAGAATGTGGTTCCATGAAAGAAAGCCAAGGGAAGATAACATTTTAAGAAGGAAAAGGTAGTCAATTTAGGTTATCCAAAAAGATTCATTATATTAAAATTTTATCAGGCTTATTGACTTCTACAAAGCAAAATGACACCATTGAAATGGGTTAATAATGTTATAACAGAGCTCCAGAAAAGTAATTATTATTACATAGTTTTATGAAACATTTTTATGAATCTAAGTATATTTTAGATAATAGTAAATATTGCCAATGAATACCTCCATCCATGACAGTGAGACTCCTAAAATTAACAAGGTTAATTGTCTTTCTTTCTAAGGGGGAACAAAACTAAAACAATATTTCTCAGATTCTCTGTCATGATGATGATTATGGACAGACCATCACATTAAAAAAGAATCCAATAAGAAACATGGAAAGTTTCTGAGTTCATATGATTATTCCACAGAAATTTCCAGGGGTGGCACTATGGCTTCAGAGCTGGTCAATTCCATGTTAAAGGGCTTCCGCATTAAAACTAGGTGTCAAAGTTTTAGTATATACATAATTTGTAGAGAAGAAATTACAGCCAGAGAAGGCACATGATTGCCTAAATGTGTATATGGAGTCTATTCAAAAACTAAAAATAGAGCAAAGTCTCCTTCATTTCTTATGTACCTTACTACTTCCATAACTTTATGCAATTAATGTGTCCTTAAAATTTATGAGAACACAGATATGGCCAAAAGATGTTTCAGTGTGAAATAGATAAATGAGAGCGATGTTCTGCTCAGTACAGGAGCAACTGTTACAGTTGAGTTAATGTGACTGATAAATTATATTCTCCCATTTTAAAAGGGAAAATCGGAAGCAAGAAGACCACAGAAAACTTTGGATAGGAAATAAGAAGTATATCAAACTTAGAAGTAAAAAAAAAAAACTAAGAAAAAATAAATAGCACTATGAGCTAGATAGCTGGGTGCTGTGTCATTTACTTCCTTTTTTGGGTAACATACTTTTAAGTTAGCAGCTTTCAAAGTAATACCTGAGGTATTAGAAGACTTTCCAAGGGACAAACCAGAACAGATAGCTTAATAGGAAGTAAATTTCCATATTCTTAGTTTCTATAAGAAATCTTTCCTAAAAATGATATGCCTGAAAACATCACCTTGGTGTTTCTTATCTTCCTCAGCCCTTGTATAATTAGCTTCTTTTATAAAATAAGGGCATCTCTTGTGCATGAAAAATCTTCTTACCACATGTGGTTCTTAGTGCAGATATTCTCTGAATCACCAAAGGGCCAATGGAAAAACACTGGTGTTGCTATAACTTTATAAGTCATATATTTTCACGTAAAAATATAATGAACAAAAGATAGAACTTAATTTGTCAAATGCTAGAACATTAAAAAGGTTTGTTGATGATCGATCACAATGACTTTCTATACATTGCATGGGAAGATTTCAAGGAATTGAGTGGCATGGCTAAAGAAACAAACAAATAAGTAGGGCTTACCTTCAAGATTAGATTGCCATAATTTTGTTATTTTATAAAAGTTTTATTCATATAAATGAATAGATGAAAATGGAAGGAGCTTCCTCATTTATATAGTTGGCATGAAGTTCAGCAACTCTTAATTTTAAAAAGTAAATATATTTCCATCATAGATATTCTAATTTCTTAGTGCATTCAACATAGAAAACATATTTACTTAGGGATTTTATAAATATTTTAAAATACATAACAATTAATGCCAAGAGCTGGTGTGAATAAGATAATGACATCTGTAACAAATATATTTAATTGATGGTCTCTGTGCTATGTGCTATGTTAGGCACTGGAGACACAAAGATAAATAAAACATGGTTCTTCCCCTTAAATATCTCTTAGCTCAGTGGGAAACACAGGCATTATACTAGATAATTATAGTAGAGTGCAGAAAGTGTAATGCCAGAGGCATGAATGGAACACTAAGAAAGCCCTAGAGATAAGAAAGAAAAAAAAAGGCTAAACTTCCCAAAGAAGGAAATACATATGGAGATTAAAGAATAACAAGTGATAAACATCTAGGTAAAATGGGGTTGGCAGGAAGCAAAGGATCTCTACTGACAGACAAAAAAAAAAAATTAAGCAAAGGCAGAAAAGTGAAAAATAGCATAAAAGGTCTTTGTAGCACTCAAACCAAGAAGAGATGAAACTGTGTCCTAAGGCACTAATAATAGGAATGGAGTAAAAAAAAAAAATATTAAAGACATAAAAGAGGTAGGATTAACAGAATTTAGAAGGGAGATTGAAGGGTAATTTATAACTGTATAATATGTAATAGTAAATTCACAATTAATATGAGGATGATGTATATAACTCATCATAAAGGAGGTTGCTAAGAAATATTTAGAGAGGAAAGGGATAAGGCCAGTTTAGAGTAGAATGAATTGGATTTGCCAGGGGAAGATTCACAAATCTGTAGGACTCTAAAAGCTCAACAAAAAAGTCCAATAAGAGGCATATATTTGGGAGTCATCAGCCTAGGAGTGTGATTGCATGAAAATACATGAGACTGTTGGAAACATACAGTGAGATTATTGGGCTGATTTTAGGATTAAGCTAAAGAAATATACCATTTATGAATTGACAGTAGAAAAGTCTGTGAAGAAAATACAATTGAGAATAAATAATAAGTCAAAGAATAACTGAACCTGGAAGAAGAGGTCAGTTAGGATAAAAGAGTTTCAAAAACAAAGCTATGACTAGCAATGTCCAAAATATTTGCCATGAGAACTTGCAAATGTCCACTAAGATGGCTCTTTGGAAGTTTTGGGTAACTTAAGCCTGAACTGCTTTGGTAGCACAGGGGAGAAAGAAGTCAGATTGCTAAAGATTATGGAAAAACTTGGAGTTGCATTCTGTAACAGAACATACATATATTACTCTTTCAGAAGTTTGGATTGGAACGAGAAGAGAGAAAGAGTTTATTAATATTGGTAGAGTTTTTGTTATTTTGTTTATTTTTCAATTAAGAGAAACCTGAGTATAATTATAAACTGAGGAAGGAAAATAAAGGACAATTTAATATAAGAAAAAGAAGTAAATATGTGAGAGATAAAGATCCCAGAGAAAAAATAATAAAACTTAGGTTAAGAATTTATTTTGGGGAGATGAATATGTTTGTTGTTGTTTTTTTAATACTGAAAAATAAAACTAAACATTGTGAGAATGTGTCTGATAATCCTTAAATCTAGAGGCAAGAGGTTAGAGGGCTGAAGGAGATCATATATCAATGCTTCAAATTTCTTGAAAAAAAAAAAAGAATATGAAGTCTGTTGACATTAATGGGGACAAGTACTATGTAATAGTGTACAGGAGATTGGGAAAGTTAAATATTGAAGGCAGTGATGGTGATGCTAAATCAATGTAGATAAAAGGATGGATCAGTGGGGCTGAGGATTAAGCTGAAGTTTATTTAACACTGCCACTTTTCATTGCTACCAATCTGCACCATAGTGTCACTTTCTTCAGCTGAAAATAAATGTTCAGTGTAAGAGAATGGAAGATTAAAACATACATATCAGGGTTGAATAAACTTGGCAGGAAATAGAGATAGAAGAAGAGCTAAAATGTTCAAGGAAGCATGATCATGCCTGGGGAGATAGACCTGGATAAAAGCTCAGAAAAATTAATCAAATGTAAATATAAGGTTGAAA